ATTAATAGAAAATTTCAGCAAAGTTATCAGGATACAAGATAAACATACAAAAATCAGTTGGATTCCTCTACATCAACAAAGAGAAATTCAAAGAGGAAATCACCAAATCAATACCATTTACAAAAGCCCCCAAGAAGATAAAATACTTAGGAATAAATCTAACCAGAGACATAAAAGACCTATACAAAGAAAACTACAAGATGCTACTGCAAGAAACCAAAAGGGACCTACAGAAGTGGAAAAACATACCTTGCTCATGGATAGGGAGACTCAACATGGTGAAAATGTCAATTCTACCCCAAGCAATCTACAGATACAATGCAATCCCAATCCAAATTCCAATGACATTTTTTAATGAGATGGAGAAACAAATCACCAACTTCATATGGAAAGGGAAGAGGCCCCAGGTAAGTAAAGCATTACTCAAGAAGAAGAACAAAGTGCGAGGCCTCACACTACCTGATTTTAGAACCTATTATACTGCCACAGTAGTCAAAACAGCCTGGTACTGGTACGACAACAGATACACAGACCAACGGAACAGAACTGACAATCCAGACATAAATTAATCCACCTATGAGCAGCTGATGTTTGACAAAGGCCCAAAGTCCGTTAATTGGGGAACAAGACAGTCTCTTTAACAGATGGTCCTGGCAAAACTGTATATCCATGTACAAAAACATGAAACAAAACCTGTACCTCACACCATGCACAAAAAATAACTCAAAATGGATCAAAGACCTAAATATAAAATCTAAAACAATAAAGATCATGGAAGAAAAAATAGAGACAACACTAGGAGCCCTAATACACAGCATAAACACAATATGAACCGTAAGTAACAATGCATAAGCACCAGAAGAGAGACTAGATAAACGGGAGCTCCTAAAAATCAAAAACTTAGGCTCATCAAAACACTTCACCGAAAGAGTCAAAAGACAACCTACAGAAGGAAAAAACCTCTGGCTATGACAAATCCGATCAGCATCTAATCTCTAAAATCTACAAGATACTGCAAAACCTCAACAACAAAAAGATAAATAACCCAATTAAAAAATGGGCAAAGGATATAAACAGGCACTTCACCAAAGAAGACATTTAGGCAGCTAACAGACACATGAGGAAATGCTCATGATCATTAGCCATTAAAGAACTGCAAATCGAAACTATAATGAGATACCATCTCACCCCAACAAGGCTAGCATTAATCCAAAAAACACAAAACAATAAATGTTGGAGAGGTTGTGGAGGGACTGGAACACTTATACACTGCTGGTGGGAATGTAAAATGGTACAACCACTTTGGAAATCGATTTGGCGCTTCCTTAAAAAGCTAGAAATACTGGGGTCTTAAAAGCCTGTAAGCAGCCATCTAAGACACTCCACTGGTCTCACCCCTTTGGGAGCAAGGGAGAATGAAGAGAACAAGAGACAAGGAAAAGATTATTCCAAAGGATTAATGGACCACAGCTACCACAGCCTCCACCAGACTGAGTTCAGTACAACCAGATGCTGCCTGGCTATCACCACTGACTACTCTGACCAGGATCACAACAGAGGGTTCTGGACAGAGCTGGAGAAGGATGTAGAACAAAATTCTAACACACACAAAAAAGACCAGATTTACTGGCCTAAAGGAGACTGGAGAAACCCGAGAGTATGGCCCCCAGACACCCTTTTGCTCAGTGGTGAAGTCACTTCCAAGGTTCACCATTCAGCCAGGGATTGCACAGCCCCATAAAACAAAACGAGACTAATGAGGCACAGCAGTCCAGGGACAAGGGCTAGAAGGCAGAAGTGGACAGGAAAGCTGGTGATAGGGAACCCAAGGTTGAGTAAGGACAGTGTTGATGTGTTCTGAGGTCGTTAACCATTGTCATACGGCAACATGTGTACTAACTGTTTAATGAGAAACTATTTTGATCTGTAAACCTTCACCTAACGTGAGAACAGCAGCACAATTTAAAGAGCGTAGTCGATGTCTCTGAACTGTGCATGTAGAAATTTTTGAAATGGCGTATCTTTGGCTACGTGCATTTTCACCAAAAAAAAAGGTCACGAAGGGAGAGGGTTGACATGTCGTGGGGTTGTTACCAATGTCAGAAAACAAAATGTGTACTACTATTTAATGAGAAACTATTTGTCCTGTAAACCTTCACCTGAAGTACAATTAAAAAAAAAAAAAGCTAGAAATAGAAGTACCATATGATCCAGCAATCCCGCTTCCTAGAGAAATAAGAGGTGTCACACGAATAGATATACGCACACCCATGTTCACTGCAGCACTATTCACAACAGCAAAAAGATGGAAATAACTTAGGTGCCGGACAAATGGATAAATAATTTATGGTATATTCACACAATGGAATACTATGCAACGATAAAGAACAACGATGAATCTGCGAAGTATCTCACAACATGGATGAATCTGGAAGGCACTATGCTGAGTGAAATTCGTCAGTCGCAAAAGAACAAATATTGTATGAGACTGCTATTACAAGAACTCAAGAAATGCTTTAAGCATGGCAGAAAACATTCCTTGATGGTTATGAGGGTGGAGAGGGAGTGAGAGGGGTGTTCACTAAGTAGATAGTATGTAAGAATTATCTTAGGTAAAGGTAAGGACAACACACAATACAGGGGAAGTCAGCATGACTGGACTAAACCAAAAGCTAAGAAGTTTCCTGAATATAACCAGAGTAGCAGAGGCAGGGTCTGGGGACCATGGTTTCAGGGGACATCTAGGTCAACTGGCATAATAAAGTTTATTAAGAAAATGTTCTGCATCCCAATTTGGTGAGTGGCGTCTGGGGTCTTAAAAGCTAGCGAGCAGCCATCTAAGATACATTGATTGGTCCCAACCCACCTGGAGCAAAGGAGAATGAAGAACACCAAAGATATAAGGAAAACAGTAGCCCAAGAGACAGAAAAGGCCACATAAACCAGAAACTCCATCAACCTGAGACCAGAAGAACTAGGTGGTACCTGGCTACCACCAACGACCGCCCTGACAGGGAACACAACAGACAGTTCCTGATGGAGGAGAAAAGTGGGGTGCAGAATTCAAATTCTAGTAAAAAGACCAAATTTAATGGTCTGACTGAGACTGGGGGAACCCCAGAAGACATGGCCGCCAGACTCTCTGTTAGCTCAGAACTGAAACCATTCCCGAAGCCCACTCTCTTCAGACAAAGGTTAGACTGGACTATGGGACATAAAGTGATACTCGTGAAGAGACTGCTGCTTAGCTCAAGTAGATACATGAGATTAAATAGGCAGCTCCTGTCCAGAAGCAAGATGAGATGGCAAAAAGCGATAGGAGCTGGTTGAATGTACACAGGAAATCCAGGGTGGAAAGGAGGAGTGTGCTGTCAAAGTGTAGGGAGAGCAGCTAGGGTCACATAGCAATGTGTGTATAAATTTTTGTATGAGAAACTGACTTAAACTGTAAACTTTCACTTAAAGAACAATTAAAAAATGAGAGAAAATTCACGTAACATAAAATTCACCATTTAAAAGCATATAATTCAGCATTGTTTTTTAGTATGTTCACAAAGTTGTACAATCATCACCACTACCTCATTTTAGAACACTTCCATCATCCCAAAAATGAATCCCATACTGTCAGTAGTAACTCCCCATTTCCTGGTCCCCGGGAAACCACTAATCTACTTTTTGTCTCCATGGATTGGCCTATTCTGGACTTTTCCACAGATAATACTATAACACTCAATTTTATACCATTCTGATATGTTTACATCAAATATAAAAAGTCATTCACACTTACATCTTCAGATTTCAGCACTTCAGCCCTCTCCACGTAGACCAGCTGGCAAACATCGTCTTCTATTGAGTTAAACTGGCGACCATTGCATGCCATATAAAAACTATCTGCATCAGCCTATGTACATCAACGAGGAAAAGAAAAAAATAATTTAAGAGAGATATCCTCAAAACTAACTTGCTTCATATTCAAGTTGTATGGCTTCAGTTACTCTTCATCAGCTTTTTCAATTTATATTTAGGAGAGAAAGCAATTGCCAAAAGAACATCTACAGAAGCAGGTTCACTAGCTGACTGAACTCTGCAGGTCAATAGCCTACATCCCCCAAGGCTTCCTGGGCTATGGAGTTTTTCACTTGAATTGGCAGGAGGCACTGAAGTGTGATAAGCTGACGGCTAGTACAATTCTAATATTCAACCAGCACCGGTCAACATTTCCCTTGATATCAGTTTTTTGTCTTTAGTCAGCACTTTCATAGCAGCTGAAAAGTAAACACTCATTTTTGCAAAGCTTGGAACCAAATCATAACTGACAACTGTTGCAGAAAGGCTCTTTTACCAAAAAAATAAAACACTGAGGGAAAAAAAGGCTCTTTTACAAAATGTCAGCATTGTTGTCAAGAAAAAATAAAGGACCAGTGAAACAGGCATGGAGTGAAAAACTAACTTGGTCCCTTCAATAAACCAAATAATAATAACAATACTATATGACAGCCAGATAAGGATCCTATCAGGAGGTTTTAAGCAACAACCTAGTGTCTGATACCGAAAAGTAAAACTTTCAGCCAAGTTGTGTAGATAGGTTGGTAGGATCAAAGCACACAACTTGCTGTGTTTGAGCTAATGCCTGTGAACCTGTCTGGCTCCCTAGCAGTGGAAGACAGACGGAATAAGGGGCAACAGCTACTGCGAGGTAAAGCTGCAAAGGTGTGTGTGCGTTTGTGAATATGAACACAGGTAATTCAAACCTTCTAGGTTAGCCTCAGTAGGAAGCAAGAAAGAGATGGTTCCAGTTTTTAAGCTCCACATTTCAGAAGCAGCTGGGAGGCCAAGGTTTGTCTGGATTTCACTCCCACACAGGCATTAGCTCAAACACAGGAAGTTGTGCGCTTTGGCCCTACCAACCTATCTATACAACCTGACTTGCGGGGGAGGGGTGTGGTTCTGCAAAAGAAAATGCTGCATTACCAATCACTAGGAAGAGATCCAGGCGGTACCAGACAAAAATAGTCCCACTTTTCTACCATCCTAGGGCTTCTGAATCTTACAGGCTCTGGAAGTTTCTCAGCAGCTTTTAATTCCACTTTGATGATGTAATTCAAATGTGGATTCTTGATTATTTACGCTTTCTTAATATGACCAAGTGAGCTATGCAGCTGAAGAAGGAAGACCAATTCTGAACGTAACTTGGGTGAGGAGTGGGGAGGGTCTGTCCTTCCAGAAACAATCTGTGTATCGGGTACAGTGCATTTTAACTTCATCTAAATGTTAAAAGCTAGTTGTCATATAATAACTTTCTTTAGTACAAAAAAGAAGCAACTTAAAATGGCTCCCCACATTTTTCAAGGGCAATGACTTTTTCTCGAAATGCTTCTAGCTGACTTAGCAGCACAGTGAGCAAACGGATTCACGGTCTGAGGGGACCAACTGCCTGGATGTGAGGGCCAGTTCTTCAGGGCCCGCTGTGGTGGCTGAAGAAAAGGCCAATCCCTCCTCAGACTCTCCAGCTCTGTAAATGCTCGCTAAGCGCCCAGGCCTCCTCAGAGGAAGGGACAAGGTTCATCACACAAGGCATGTGATGACGCCCACTCAACACCCAGACACTTTAGTCCTTTCTCGGGAGGCCTGTTTATTGCTACCAAAGATATATGTTTTCAAAACAAGAACATGAACAGCTGAGATTCCCCAATTTGAACACATTGATTTCTTCTTTAAACTTCTTGGTATTGGAAACTTAGCTTCATTTGTTCAAATATCCACTGGGCACCCAGTGTGTGCCAGGCACTGTGTTATGCACCAAGAAGAGAGTAAGGAACAAATTACACAAAATTACAAAAGCCTGAAGCTAACAGCAAAAAACACAGAATAAACAATTCTTCTATTTAAAATGTTTGTGTCTTGTAGAGCCAAAAATTTAAAGAAACACAGCTGCTGTGGTTGTTTTTTTTTTCCTAGTCCCTTTCTTTGTTCTTTTTTCAGAAAAAATTGAGAAAAGGAGAAAATTCCATTGTGATCCAGGTTCCCTCTGTCACAGTGACCAACTATAGTGAGAAGTTATTTTATTTCTCAAGAGGTATCTCCTAACCTGTCCACGGCATGCCAGTGAAAAGGAGCCACAATACTCACTTGAGAAGTTACTTGTCATTTTTTGTCCCGATGAACAAGAGTGAAACCTGTGAGAGCTGGAACTCAACGGGACAGCCATGTTTTTCCCTCTCTGACAGAGTGTAGTCTTACCACTTTTCTATTGTACATTTTAGTGGAAAATATTTGAATTTTCTTTCTCTGATGTTTCCACCTTACCAGATTCCAGCTTTCACAGGTTTACTGTACTGAACCTCCCTGATATCATGTGTCCTGATGAATTACAAATTCTGTACTCAAAGACCAAGTTTTCTAAAGGTCACAGAACAACTTTGTAACCACATCTGTTTCTAAGATCTCAAGCATAAACCTAAGGCCAAAAGAAATCCAAAAGATTATAAAAGATATAGAGAAGGCATATAAGTTCTTACAAAAAATTCTCTGGTGAGAAGAAGAATATGGTTAGCAGCCCAGGCTATGAAGTCAGGCTGCCTAAGCTTGAATCCCAGCTCTGACACATTAGCTCTGTACCTTTGGGCAAGTGACTGAACTTATCTGTGCCACAGTTTCCTCAATCGTAAACTAGGAATTAACTACACCTACCTCATGGCATTGGCGAGAGATAATACACAAAAAGCAGTTAGCACAGGACAGGGCCTGACATCTAGTCAGTGCTCAGCAATTAGGAGCTATGGAGTCTATTCTCATTAGGGCTCATTATTAATTGAACAACTTGAAGTCTTATACCAAGTCTTATCAGACCTGAGAAACTCCTTCAGAGGATGGGCCTCAGACCCTAATAACCAAATGTAGTAGTAAACAATAATACAACCCACAATCCAAGGTCAAGGGTTCTATCCTCACTGGGAAGAGCATGCACCAAGCTGTTTCAAAGACTCAGACAACTTTTGTCAACTTTAGCAACCTGCACTTGGTCAAAATCAGGGTTGGAAAGAACATGCAGATGGACAAAGAAAATCCATTAACAGTGAAAACAAAATATCCACAGTATTATCTGTACATTATGAAGGGCAGCATTTGCTACAGGTAAGTTTGTGGCTTTCTTAAACTTTTTAAAAAATCTAAGACAATTTAAAAAGTCTAATAGGGTGTTAAACATGTTTTTCCCAATCTATTAATGAGACTTTGCCCGTGTGTCACGTGATCTTATTAAGTAAAAACGATTGCTCAAGTGTTGCTGTTACCCAGCATCTTGGAAACAGTGCCTCTTCCCTTCCCACACCTTCATCCCACTCGTACTAGGACACAAGTATGTCCTAGGGATTAAAAGGGAGGGCTCACATTCCAGCTCAGCCCTTATTTCTAGCTGTGTGTCCCTGAGCAAATGACTCATTTCTCTCTGCAGTCTGTTTCCTCATCTCTAAAACAGAGATAAGAACAGTATCTGTCTACCTCATAGGGTCGCTGAGGATTAAATGAGATAATTCATGTGAAGCATTAGCGCTGTGAGTGGTATAGCACAAACCAAATCAAAAAACCAAACAGGTTGCCATCAAGTCGATTCCGACTTACAGTGACCCTACGGGACAGAGCAGAACCACCTGATGGGGTTTCCAAGGCTGTAATCTCTACATGAGCAGGCTGACACATCTTTCTCTCACAGAGCAGCTGGTGAGTTTGAACCACTGACCATTTGGTTAGCAGCTAAATGCTTAACAACTCAAGCAGTCAATAAAGGTTAGATATGATCATCGTCTTTATTATTACACATGTGACCACACTTTAAAAGGTTTAAGGCACCACTTGCCCATTATTTGCAAAGTTACTCAGTGCCCTTGAAAGGCCCTCTGACAGTCAGTTTTTCAGTTGTGTTTCTGTTTTCCACGTCAAGTTGTGAAGTCTAAGTCTACAGGGCAGTTGAAAGCCATGTTTAAATGCTTCTCTCCATGGTGGGGTACTTTATAAAGGTTAAAGATATAACAACAGGGAACACAGAGTTTCATACTAAGGGTCTTCTCCCTGGGGCCTACAGAACAGGCAGAGATAGAATCCAACTCTCCCTTCTCTTAGCTTCCGCCCCATGGCCAGTGAATGGCTGCTATGCTGTCCGCTCTCGATTTTTGTAAAGAGGAAGGAGGAGGGAGCAAGTATAACTTTGAGTCATATGCTCCCTCTTACCCACAAGTCTTAGGCAACCAGTCAGAGAGGCCATGGCTAATGGTTCTGAAGGCATACCCAGTCAATCAGCAACTTGGAACTACTTATCTGGGACAAATTCAGAAAGGTTGTTTTGAATGAGGTAAGACAGAAGTAATTTTTGACAAAGCTGTATTTCAAAACCTAATGAAATTTCAATAGAAAAATACAATAGGCTATTTAAAAAAACAAACAAACTGAAATCTAAAGATTGAGGAGCTCCTTAATCACTTGGATTATTCCTAAAACATACCTCATTTTTATATTCATATGAAATCATACAAACGTATAAAAATGAGTATGCAAACCCAAAATACCTTTCTAATAGCTTTCTAACTGAGGCTCGTGGAAAGTGCCGCTTAGTGCAACAAATGAACTGAGTGGATGGCAAAATCTTCCTACTTCCAAAGCATGTTATCATGCACAAGCACTGTTAACAACTGAAAATATCACCACTCTTTCAGTGTTTCTGTCTATTAGAGGGATTTCCAATCAGGACTCTAAAGCATATTTAATACTCCAAGGAATGTCACACAATCCCTCTGGTCCACCATTAAAAAAAAAAAAAAAAAAACAGATTCTATTTCTAAAATGTACCAAAGAGCACCTTTTAGAAAGAGAGTGAAAGAAACAGGGCACAGTGTTATATTGGCAAATAATATGGTATCAACTTCAAAAAACTTGGGAATGAGTGTTCTCCTAGAATAGTTACTACTAAGTAAAACAAACAAAAAACTAGATTTCACACCCAATCCTATTTATAAAAAAGCATGGATATGATTAGAACTATGACTCTGCTAAAGAATTTAGAAATACACCTACAGTTACAATACCCTAGAAGGCATATATGTCCAGGATCTTAAGTGCAAAACGTTGTAAATCACACACAGCTATTATTACAGTTTCAAAAACAGTTTCAAAAACAGTTTCTGTGGCAAAGAGATTTTTAAAATCTTACAACTTTTACCTGTGCACTAAACTTTATCAGCACCATATATTGGTTTGGAGTAGAGTCTCGGATGATTTTCATTTGTTCAATTACTTCATTAAATGGGGCGACAAACTTCATAAGGTCATGACTGGTCATTGTAGCAGGGACCGTGAGAATACACAGCATGGCACTGCGCCTCACATCTTCTTTTAACGAGGTCATCTTACTAATAAGACAATAATTAGACTGTCTTGAATAGATGAGGCATGGTTAGTTCAGACAACACTAATCAGACAACTTTTATGCCGAAGAAAATAAAACGTGTAATACTTCACAAGTTAACTTAAACAGCTTGTTATTTTACTCCAAAATACACGCTAGAAGGGTAAATGCAGAATCCCTTAAACATATCTGCAATGGAGTTTGCAGTAAGTTTTAAAATGCTCTACTTTACACGCCCCTACCCCCCCGCCATTAGAATTTTTAACCCTCAGTTTAAAAGGCTTGCTATAGTTATAAATCCGCATTAGGAAAATGCTCATTGGTTTGTTTTTCTCATTAGTTTCTTTTTTTTTAATTGTGGGGAAAAAATATATATACGTACATCACAAAAGATTCCCATTTCTACCACTTTCTCATTAGATTTTCATTAGCCAATGTAGAGGCACAACTCTAGCTACAGACTTCCCTTAAAGGGTCTAAAAACAAGCTCTACATATAGGAAAGAGAAGTCTAATCCATGAGGCTGTGACTCTGAAGATACAGAAAGTGTTGCTTGGTTGTAATACACGAAATAGAGTGGAAAGAAAAACCTCCCACTTCAACAGCTGTGATCCAAAACGGCAACCTGAGTATTTGCTGTTTTCCCAGTGGGGACCTGGCCAACAAGCTCTGGCAAGAACAGCCTTTAAGAGATTAGCCACCAATTATGCAAAGAGCTGATGGTCCCACTTGCAAATTATTTAGACAAACATTTCCTTTCCTGCAACCTCCAGCAACCTTTGTTGGGACCATAGAAAGGTGATGAAATTGTGACTGATTAACTGACTTGTTTGCAGCTTCTTTAGTAAAGATTTGGTGGGAATATAAGACTACAATGATGCTATGGATCATCTATACTTTTTCTTTTTTATCATCGATTCCCCAATCACCTTCCCTGCCCACCTGCTAAGGGAGTACTTTCTTTGATGCTTTCTTCAGTGTATGTACACATTTTTCTTTCATAAGGGGAAGCTCTGGCCCAATCCTTAAGATTAACCAAACACAAAATATCTAAGACTTCTCTTACAACACGTGAAAGTATTACCCTTTTGAAGCTTAAAATATCCACTTCCTTTCAGGGCAAGAGACTTTTTCTCTTTCCTGTGTCAAAAAATAGACCAACCCAAAAGGAAATCAAGGTTTTTCTTACTTCGTCTTGTATAGATGCATAATACCATGAACTATTTCAACTGATGGGTTTCCACTGAAGAATGAAATCTGGTCTGGAAGCTGTTTAGACGGAGAATCAGGAGCAGCATTTACGCATTCCTTACTTTGATCTCTACTTCTCCGTGCAGTGGGGGATGCTTCTGAAGACTTTCCTTCTTCCATTGTAGCTTTTAGCTCATCTTTCACAAATCAAAAATTAGCAGATTATAAACTGAGAGGAAATATGCTGAAGGATTCTACCCAGGTTAAAATTTCAAGCCAGGAGGAAAAACTTTGACAAAAAAATTGCAATGTACCACACTAAGAACTGTATTCACAGAACAGCTGAGTGTGGGGGTATCGCAACTTGAAATATCTGTTTGCCCTGTAAAAATCTCAGTAACACCCTCAGAAACCTTAGGATGCCTCTTACATTTTGCAGTACGATAACACAAGCAGGTGTCTTCCGTCATGAACTCCTAAATGAGATGAACACTCGAGGCTAATTAGGCCCGAAAACTAAACCTACCAGTTCTGACCATCTCCATGCCGGAAATGCAGTATACATCCACTTTCCTGGATGGAAAAAGCTGGTAGAACGGGGGAGGTAACAACGTGCATATCTAGAGTCACTTCATGATCTGCCACTGACCTATGTGGTAAGTAGCTCTTCCCAATGAAAAGAGTTGGCAACCCAGCTTGTTGGTACTAGTTTAGAAGAAATAATTGGAGAAGCTGAAATGTGGTTTGACAACCTCACGTAAGGCACACAGGCAGTGAAAGATAAAAGTATGCTAAAGGTCAAAATCATGGGCTCACTGAACAACATGTATAAAACAGGCAACTAGGGGCTCATTACAAAAGAGTCCAGGGTTTTAGAAAGCATACCTGGGTCGGACTTCATGGTCTCAATGATCATATCTGTCATTTCTCGATGACCAAGATGCTGATGTATGATTGCTGCTTTCTCCCCTGGTGACTTCCCTTCTAAAGAGGCTACAGCTGAAGCTAGTGTCTTCATTTTGATCTCCTCGTCAGACATTTCCCCGGCTAAAGAACACATAAATGATTAATACCTGATAAAACAAACTCCTCTACATTTCCAAAGGAGATAGGAGACATGGATAGGTATCTCTCTTCTCTCTGCTGACCTCCCCTAAGACTGACCCATATAGGTGTCAATATGTGGCTAATGTCAATTTATTTCACTTTCAGAACTCAGAGATCCTTTTTGGCCTTTGGGAGGTGTTCCTAGCCCAAATCACATTCAATCTTCAATGTGCATCTCCAGAGTCTTCAATGACACTGTCTCTATTTGTCCCAGCTCCCCTCCCCAAACCAACCGGGTGAAATCCCTGCGTAACAGTTCTCCAAATGGCTTCTCTTTCCTCCCCGGCACTTATCACAGCTATAATTCTATATCTATTTGCTAAACATTCAATTCATCTGTCTCCCGCACTGAACTGCTGGTGCCATTAGGACAGGGACCACGTCTGACTCTGCACTCAACTAAAGCTCCAGCACCGGCACTCAATAAATATTTCTTGAATGACCGTTAGATAATTATTTGAGATCCAAGGAACAGAGTCATAGCTGCACCCCTCACTAACGAGGCTGTGTGGCTGGTGAGGAGCTCAGGCTCTCAAGTCCAGCTCCCTGAGTTAGAATCCCAGTTTCACCACTAATCTTGGGGAAGTCATTTAACCACTGGGACTGTTTCCCAATTTGTAAAAAGGGTATACCACCCATCTACCTCATACGGTTGTCGTAAAGATAATTAGAACATTCTCACAAGGTGTTTAGTACACTGCTAGGATATAGAAGGTGCCCAAATTTTAGTTGTAATAATCACTACTGCTACAGGGCGCCTAAATAGGTATGCTTCCAAAGAGGAACAATTTAACGAAACCAGAGACCGTCAGCAACTCCGGGGATCCGGTTTCTGCCTTCAAGAGCCCAGAGGAGGGCAAATGAGACAAACAATTACACCACTCGACTCTAACCCAGGCAGAGGCAGTCGCGTCAAGTATAAACAGAGTGCCCGTGGGAAGGCAGAAGAAGGGAGGATCCAGGAAAGATTTCCCAGAGATAACATCTGGGATGGGATGAGAGAATCCCACCCACTTCTCAGCTTCTTCCTGAGACAAACACCCTCGCCGCAGCCTTTGCCCGGGTCCGCGCTTTGGAAGGGCGATCACTCGGGCTCAGGAGCGAGATACAGGGAAGGCGTCGAGGCTGGGGGACTCACCGGCGGCGCTGAAGCCGAAGCCGGCGGGGATGGGCGAGTGTTCCGCGAGCTCCAGTCGGATGACAACCAATGACACACTCATAGGGCAGGTGCTGGCCGGTGCGGGCCCCGGCGGGCTCAGGTGGGGCTGAGAGACGAGCCGAGAGGCCGAGTGGTCCGGGGCCGGCAGCGCCGCCACCGCCGCCACCGCCTCAGCGCCACCGCCGCCGAAGCAGCAGCACCTAGTTCCTCGCGCGACCGTCGGAGCCAAAACAACCTCCACTTCCGCCTCCCGGCCGCCGTCTCTAACCCTTCGGGTCACGCACGCGCGCTCTCCGATCAGGCGGGACGGCGATCACGTGACCGGCGCGGCGGCGCTGAGGTGAGCTTGCGTTCCTCGGTAGGGTCGCTGAGGAGGTTGCAGAGCAGGGACGCCCAGGGGCTTCTGGGCGCTAGGCCTCTAGCAGGTCTAGCGGTGGGTTTGTGCCCAGGCGCGAGTTAACCTCTGCCTGCTGGAGAGGCCTCGCCCTCAGCCTGTCTGAGCTGGTGGCAAGACGGCCCCGGCTCCGAAACATCTCCGAGTGGTCCCAGGAGTCCGCGATGCAGAGCGCTCTTGCGTCCTTTGGCATGTTTGACACTTCACGCTAGCCCTAGGAAGGATTGCTTTGTTACAGCCCCGCTTAACATATAGGTATAGTGAGGTCTGGAGAGTTGAAGCCGCTTCTCTGGGGGCCCGTAGGGAGTGGGGACTCGATTGCCAGCTTTCTGAGGTGATGGGCCGTGGGCTGGTTAAGCGCACGTGCTGGAGACAGCCCTGGGTCCGGGTCCTGGCCCCATCACTTCGCTTCACAAATGTTTACTAGGAGCCAAGTCACCGTTGGGGCGCTGGGGACACATCGGTGACTAAGATAAACACAATTCCTGCCCTTATGGAGCCGACCTTCATCACCAGTTGTGTCACCTTCAACTAGTCATTGCGTAAAATTGGAGTATTCATTCACTGGTTGTTAGGGTGAAATGAAGTGCAGATAGACACTCAGGTTAGCTTTTACGTTAGCTTTTTTGAGGTTAAGCGTTCTTTCCAGTAAGTCAGACTGCCTTTTAGCATGTAGATATTGACAGCCACAGTCAATTTGTACATAGCACATACGTGTCAGGTTGCTGTACTAGGCATATTCTATGGCGGTATCCAAGCTTTGTCAGAGCATGTCTTGGACGTGTAGCTACTGGAACTGTATAATATGGCTGCAGGATATGTGTGTATAATTTGTGACTGCATCCTATAAAATACATTTCAGTACACACTGTATGTCAAGGTTTTTCCACCTTAGCACTGTTGACTTTGGGTCCAGGTAATTCTTTGTGGGGGAGTGTCCTATGCATTGTAGGATACTGAGCAGTAGCCCTGGCCTGACCCACTAGATGCCAGTAGCACCTCCCTCACAGTGGTGACAACCAAAAATGTCTCCTGGGGCCAAAACTGCCCTGGTTGAAAATCACTGGTTTATATGAAAGTGCATCTGCTACATGCCGTGTGTGTGCGTGTGCGTGTGTGCGCGCGCGCATACATGTATCACAAGACTTCTTGTGAACTTTTTGTAGTACATTACAGTAACAGATGATATTTAACAGTGTGCCAGATACTAACTTTAGTGCTTTACACACTTTATCTCATGTATTGGTAACAACTTTTTGAGACAAATACTATAATTATCTCCATTTTACAGAGGAGGAACCTGAGGTTTAAAGAAAGAGTAACTTGCCCAAGATTTCACAGCTAGTAAGTGGCAGAGCTAGAATTTGAAGCCAGGCAATCTGATTCAAGAGCCAACTCTCTATCTCTTTACTAAACCACCCCTTTAATATATGACAGCCATCCTGTGTGTGTGTGTGTGTTTATGAAAGTGTACCTTAGGTGGCAAATCTACATTATCACTGCAATCTTATTATTCTAAGAGGCAGGAAGAAGACGTATCTTTAGGGTAACTAGGGACAATGCCAGTGCAGAGAACTGGAATTGTGAGCCAGAGATGGGCAAGTGTAACAACGGTGTGGAGGCGGTGTCTGACCTCCTTCAACCCCACGAGGGGGAAGGAGAAGCAAGATCAACAGCACAAGTCTGATTCTTATGAAGTAGAGGTCAGACACGCCTCCTCTGTCTGCCATCTTTACCAATTCTGACACCAACTATCCCTTCTACAGCACTCTACTGGGTTCAATAATTCATTGCAATGGCCATACAGAACTAACAGACCACACTCACAATTATGGAGTTTATTTGGGAAGTAACAGTTACAGTTCAGGCTCAAGAACACTCAGGATACAGTTCTTCCATTAGGTTAGCCTCTTCTCAGCTATACTTGAAGGCACACCTCTCCCTGGCCCTCAGTCTCGCGCAAAGTCACTCAGCTTTCTCTCTCCGTGGGCCAGGAAGCCCCTCGTGCCATCTCTCCTTCCTTGATGGTGGGCTCTTCCTCTCTGTTCTGGAATTGGCTCTCTTTTAAAGCAAAACTGACCAATCCCCTTTGTAGGCCACAATTACCCTATCACACAATCCCACCCAATCAGCTGGGTGGGAGTTACAAGACTATGGCTAAAAGGGCCACACAAAAGTAATCAATCAGTAATTAATCCCACCGCAGCACGTTAGGCCTGTTAGAATTCTTTGTGGCTGCCAACTATATGTCTGTACTCTGCTTTCTTCTATTTTCTGTTCACCCAGTTTATTCATCCTTTTAACACATATTTATTCTGAACTCCTGCTACGAGCCCAGGCCTTGTGCTAGACCCTAGGGGATGGATGGATACAGAGATGAGTAAGACATTCTCCTTGCCTTAAGGAGCTCACAATTATAGGAGCATACAGGCATGAAAATAGTTACTGTGTCATGGGTAAGTGCTCTGCTGGAAGTGTGGAGAAGAAGCAACAGGAGTGAAAAAAAGGAGTGATAAGGTAGCTCTGGTCACACAACAGTTAAGCACTTGGCTGCTAACCGAAAGATCAACAGTTCGAACCCACCAGCAGTTCTCCAGGAGAAGAGACCTGGTAATCTGCTCTTGTAAAGACTGCAGCCTAGGAAACTCTCTGGGGCAGTCCTACTCTGTCCTCTAGGGTTGCTATGAGTTGGAATTTACTCGATGCTGGCTTAATTATCTAGTACTGCTGTAATAGAAATATCATAAGTGGGTGGATTTAAGAAATAGAAATTTATTCTGTCATAGTTGAGGAGGCTAGAAGTCTGGATTCAGGCCACCAGCTCTAGGGAAAGGCTTTCTTTCTCTGTCAGCTCTGAGGTCCTTTCTCCTTTCAACATCTGTGGTCCCAGCATCCCTTGGAGGTCTCCATGTATCTTGGCGTCAGTCTTCCCCTGGGTCTAGGAGGTTCTCAGCACAGGAACTCTGGGTCCAAAGGACACGCTCTGCTCCTGGCTCTTCTTGCTTGGTGGTATTGAGGTTTCTCTCTCTGCTTGCTTCTCTTTCCTTTTATCTCTTATAAGATAAAGGATGTGACTCCAGTAAGGGTGTGACCTGAATAAGGGTGGTAAGGGTGGTGACTGGGGTAAGGGTGGTAAGGAGTCACCCTCTAGTAAGGCAGTGACTCAAGATACATCCCATCCTAATCCTGCCTCATTAACATAATGGACAGCTCACTCCCAAATGGGACCATAACCACAGGCATAGAAGCTAGGATTTACAACACATCACAAAATGAGGATAAGTACATCAGATCACAAAATGGAGGACAGCTACAGAATACTGGGAATCATGGCCTAGCCAAGTTGACACATATTTTGGGGGGACACAATTCAATCCGTAACAATGGCACACAACAACAACAAGAGTCTGCCTGGAAAAAGGAAGAAAAGCCCCTACTGAGGAGGTAGAGCTGAGGCTGTGATGTAAGAATGACGCAAGTTCACCAGGCAGATGAAGCAGGGAGTGGAGTTCCAGTCAGTGGGCACAACAGATCTCAAGGCCTGGAGGTCTGAGAAATCACAGAATTTTCCTCTCTGAAGAGGGTGTTGGGAGGTGGCTGGGACAGAACTATCAAGTGTAGTTGGAAGGAATAAGCCAGCCACTTGAGAGAGCATTGCCCACTTGTCCATTCATAGGAGTCTGTGGAGGACAATGTCCTCGAGGAGGATTAAAGTCGGCCCTTCAGGTCCCGGAGACACTTTCATTGCTGTTAAGCCCTCACACAAAATGTGTTGATGCTTTTACGAGCCTGTAAATAAATTTGTCTTTCTATCATATACTTTGGCCTTAGCCTGGGAACATAAGGGAAACTGAAAATGCAAATCAACCTCTAAATTTTTTTAATTTCAAAATTTACTCCTAAATTCAGCAAAGTTCCAATTATGTGAGAAATGCATCATATAGTTTTGAAGATTTACTGCTTAAGATTCCTTTCTTTAGATTCTTATATAGTTTCTTGAGTCCCTATGGCACTGTAGTGACTCTTCCGTAAACTCGTGGAGCTTACTAACTTGTTTTGCTCCAAACTGTTTTTAGTAAGCTTTTTAACTATAGAATTCACATAAAAAGCATACAGATTTTCTTACCTACCTGTTTTTGCTCTATACTGTTTTTTAGTAAGTTTTTAAACTACAGAATTCACGTAAAAAGTGAAGAAAGAGTTGGGGGGAGGCTTGAGAAGAAGCAGGGGACCAGCTAGGGGGCTGCAGTGATGTGTAGCGAGATGATGGCAGTGAGAATGGAGAGAGGTAGATGGGGATTTTCAGGAGAAAGAACTGACAGGACAGAGTACCTGGAGGTGTCTCAGTTGAGGGTGGGCAAAGTCCAGGGGGAAGCCTAGTAGGAAGAAGGAGTAGGGGGAAGAGGCAAGATTTAGGTAACTTCTGGGTGGGGTTTGAGGTGTCCAGTGGGCACTGCTGAACTCCAGGAATAGGGGTCTCATCGGAAGCAGGAAATGCAAGCTGTAAGTTGTGCCTGTGCCTTCTTCTCACGCAGCCTCAGCCTCAGCATGTGCCTAAGGAGGCTCTTCCAGTCCTTACATCTCCAGGGGGCTTGGAGGGCAGCTTTCCTGAAGCACAGCCAGCGCAGACCCCGGGGAGTCCGTCGATGGACGCATTCTGGAGGTGGCATCTACAAGGCAGTGATTTTTGACATGGGTGGAGTTCTCATTCCTTCTCCAGGGAGAGTGGCTGCAGGTGAGCACTTCATTCTGTTTCCCTTTCTGGGACTGGGGTGGGGGTTGGGGAGCAGGGGGTGGTAAGGGGACAGAGGGAGTCCTTGGGTGGTACAAATGGTTAATGTGCTTGGCTGCTAACCAAAGGGTTGGAGGTTCCAGTCCACCCAGGGGTGCCTTGGAAGAAAGGCCTGGCAGTCTACTTCTGAAAAAATCAGCTATTGAAAAAACCCTATGGAGTACAGTTTTACTCTGATACACATGGAGTTGCCATGAGTTTGAATAGACTCCATGGCAACTGGGTTTTGGGTGTAAGGGGAGCAGAGAGGAACATTTGGGCAGCAGCATATCCCAGTGGGCAGTACTTTGGCTTTTGAATCAAATTCCAGGCACCACTTGGTGGTTGCGTGACTCAGTTTCCTCATCATTAAATTAGAGCTAATAATGCTACCTATCTCCTTGGGATTTTGTGAGAGTTTAATGAGATAAGCCATGGAAAACACTTGCTTAGCACAGTGAGTACTCAGCTCATCCTAAATTCTCATTAAATGATCAACTGCCACTGTTATTGTTGCTGTGATTAAAGTTTAACTAGCGCAAAAGAGAAAGAAGGAAACAAAAGACTCAGAAGAGACTAGTTTACAGGACAAATAGTGTACATGAACCATGGCCTCACCTACCCTGAGATCAGAACAACTAGATGGTGCCCAGCTACCACTACTAACTGTTCTAATCATCAATTGATGAACCCTGATAGAATAAGAGAAAAACTCCTTAAAAACAAAACAAAACAAAACACCAAAAAACCAGACCTACTGGGCTAGTTAAGACTGGAGGACTCCCGGATACTGTTGCCCTGAGATACTCTTCAAACGTTGAGCTGAAACTAACCCCTGAGGTCATCTTGTAGCTAAATAACAGATTGCCTTACAAAATAATATCACCTCTAAGTACTGTGCTCCTTTAAAATATCACCTATATGAGACCAAATGGTCAACAATTACTTTAAAACAAAGATAAGGATGTAAGGGGACAGTGAAACAAGATTAATGGAAACAGAACAACCAGAACAAAAATGAGAATGTTAACGCCTTGTGAAGAATGTAACCAATGTCACTGAATAATTTGTGTAGAGATTGTTGAATGGGAACCTAAACTGCTATGTAAACCGTCACCAAAAACACAATAAAGTATTATTTAAAAAAAAAAAAAGTTTAACTAGCCTGATGGCAGCTAACAACCACCACCTTTCACTGGGAACTGTGCTACTTCTGAAATCTTGAATGCTGAAATCCCTGCTTTGATCATGACCTTCCTCTCTTCTACATCACTCCCTCCAGCCTGCTTTTGGACCTACAAGGTCAAACCTCTAGTCTTCTTGATTCCGTTCTCTTTATCAGCAACTTCCTTGTTTTACTTTTTTTCCCTACTCAGTTCAGACTTTATATTCAACTTACTTTAATTAGATTAGTTTCAGCTACAAGTATTAGAAAACCTACCATTAACGATGACTTAAACAGAGTAGAAGTTTATTTATCTTGCACATAAAAGCCCAGGTCTGGATCAGGGACTCAGGCTCTCCCTATCTTGTGGCTCTGTTGTGAGTACTCTTCATTTCCAGTTTTACCTCAGGGTCTGTCTTGGCTACTCCACCTCTGGCCATCACATTCAAATGTTTAATGGAGGCCACTGGGAAGGGAAAGGGGCCAAACAGCTATCCCTATCATTTTGACTTACTGTAGTGGCTGGTTGGCCGATTCCTTCCTGCCACCCACCTAAATCAACCCAAGTACAAGTTTTCTCTACACCTGCCCCTGCTGAGCAATATTCCATTGTATGTATTTACCACATTTTGTTTATCTGTTCATCCACTGATGGACGCGAGTTGTTTCCACCTTTCTGTTACTGTGACCTACTCATGCTTTTAATGACAAATTAAATGGGATATTACTCACCACAATGCCGGGCATCTTTTAAGCACTCAATACATCTTGTGGTTGTTATTATTATTAACTTCAGAACTTCTGTGACCTCCTCCCGGGGCAGAATGTCCTGGAGAGCATGTTCCCACATCTAGCCTAACGTTTACCAAGGTGTGATTTTTCGTTCGCAGTGGGATGTGTTCTTGTCTTTTTGGGGCTCTGAGTTCCCAGGAGCCCGGGTCTGGGGTTTATTCACTTCATCTTTCTAGTGCCCAGTCCAGAGCTGACTCAGTCATTCAGGAAATGTTTGATGGATGGATGAATGAACAAATGAGTGATGCCTAGTTGTTTTTTTGTTTTGTTTTTTAACTAAAACTTCTAATTTATTTCAGAGGACCCAAATTAAGCATCATTTGATAAATGAAGACTAGAAATTAAGATCATCTCAAATATCAAACTCAATTTTTTTTTTACATTTAAGCCAGGAGTCAGTACCTACTCAACTCTGCTGTTGTAGTACTCAGTTATCTAGTGCTGCTATAATGGAAATACCACAAGTGGGTGGCTTTAACAAAGATAAATTTATTCTGTCACAGTCTAGGATGCTAGTAGTCCAAATTCAGGGTGCCAGCTCTGGGGGAAGGGCCTTGTCATCAGTCTTCTCCTGGTCTAGGAGCTTCTCAACACAGGGACCCCAGGTCCAAAGGATGCGCTCCCCTCCTGGTTCTTTATTCTTGGTGGCTTGAGGTTCCCCTGTCTCTCTGTTGGCTTCTGTCTTTTGTATCTCAAAAGAAATTGATTCAAGATACAACCTAATCTTGTTGATTGAGTCCTCCCTCATTAACATAACTGCCTCTAATCCTGCCTCATTAACATCATAGTGGTAGGATTTACAACACATAGGAAAATCACATCAGATGACAAAATGGTGGACAATCACACAATGCTGGAAATCATGGCCCAGCCAAGTTGACACACATTTTAGGCGGATACAGTTCAATCAGTAACAAGCACTAAAGCAGCCATGTTGTTGTTGTTGTTGTGTGCTGTCGAGTTGATTTCAATTCACAGGACCCTGTAGGACAGAGTCAAACTGCCCCATAGTGTTTCCTAGGCTGAAATCTTTGCAGGAGCAAATCGCCAAGTATTTTCTCCCTTGGAGCCACTGGTAGGTTCAAACTGCCAGCCTTTCAGTTAGCAGCTGAGCGCTTTAACCATTGTACCACCAGGGCTCCTCAAAGCAACCATAGACACTACATAAACAAATGGGGGTGACTTTGTACCAATAAAACTTCATTTTCAAAAGTAGACAGGAAGACCAGATTCACTGGCCTAAAGGAGACTGGAGAAACCCCGAGAGTATGGCCCCCAGACACCCTTTTAGCTCAGTGGTGAAGTCATCTCCGAGGTTCACCATTCAGCCGGGGAGTGGACAGCTGCATAAAACCAAATGGGACTAATAAGGTACAGCAGTCCAGGGACAATGGCCAGAAGGCAGAAGGGGACAAGGAAGCTGGTGATAGGGAACCCAAGGTTGAGTAAGGATAGTGTTGATGTGTTGTGAGGTTGTTAACCATTGTCATAGGGCAACATGTGTACTGTTAAATGAGGAGCTATTTTGTTCTGTAAGCCTTCATCTAAAGTGAGAATAGCAGCACAGTTGGAAGAGCATAGTCGATGTCACTGAACTGTGCATGTAGAAATTTTTGAAATGGTGTATCTTTGGCTGTGTATATTTTCACCAAAAAAAAAAGGTCGAGAAGGGAGAGGGTTGACATGTTGTGGGGTTGCTAACCAATGTCATAAAACAATATGTGTACTGCTGTTTCATGAGAAACTATTTGTTCTGTAAGCCTTCACCTGAAGTACAATAAAAAAAAAAATAGACAGGAGGCTGGATTTGTCCTCCGCGCCATATTTTGCTGACCTTTGGTCTAGTTTATACTTTTTAACATCTGTGTGATACTCTGTTATGTGGATGTACTGTAACTGATTGAACAAGCCCTTTATTAATAGACAAGGAGCCCTGGTGGCACACTGGTTAAAGTGCTTGGCTGCTAACCGGAAGGTTGGCAATTAGTACCCACCAGCAGCTGTGTGGGAGAAAGATGTGGCAGTCTGCTTCCGTAAGGATTACAGCCTTGGAAACCCTATGGGGCAGTTCTACTCTGTCTTGTAGGGTTTCTGTGAGTTGGAATTGACTCGACGACAAGGGGCTTGGTTTTCAGGTTTTACTAATAGATATTTAAGTTTCTAGGTTTTTTATTTTTTTACAAGCAATTCTGTACACACAGCCTTATACATCATTTGTATTTTATAAATATATTTGTGGAACAAATTCCTAGAAGTGGAATTTCTAAGTCAAATGTATGTGCATTTAAAATTTTGACAGAAATTACCAAATTGCTCTCCGTGTAGATTATGTCTGTTTACACTCCCATCAACAGTATATGAGAGTGCCAGTTCCCTTGCATGCTTGCCAACTCTGAGCCCGTAAAAAATGCTCTACTGTTTAGATGAGTTCTAAAATGGAACATGTATTCTTATTTTGAATTTTAAAAGGCTTGTAAGTCTCAAAGCATATATACCAAATGATTAACATTGATTATTTCTGAAGACTGGGATTGCTTGTCATTTTACTTGTTTTTTATACCTTTGTATCCCATCCAAAGGAGTTCCTGGGTGGCACAAATGGTTAGTGCGCTCAGCTGCTAACTGAAAGGTTGGCAGTTCAAGTCCACCCAGAGGCACCTTGGAAGAATGACCTGGCAAATCATCCTTTGAAAACACTGTGGAGTACAATTCTGTTCTGACACACATGGGGTCATCATGAATCAGAGTCAACTTAATGACAACTGGTTTGGTTTTTTTATGTTGTCCAAAACCCTTTCAATGGACAGGTATTGCTTTTATAATCAGAAAAAAAGCAGTAAGGGCATTTTCATTTCAGAACAAAAGGTATATGTAAAGTGTATGATGTCTTAGATCTATAATTATGAATGGCATGTATATTTTTGCCCCCAGCGAATGTATTGAAAGAAAAAACAACTAGCACCCAAGTGTTCCCAGTATTACACAAATGATGATCCATCCAATGCCTTAGCTCCTCACTGATAGAGATGGGCTTCTTTATTCCACAAAGATAGTATTCCCCAAGGGAATGTTTCAATGTACCAGCTCCACTGCCTTAAAGGATGACTGTAGCTTACAAAACGAAGAGCTTCTCTGGAGTGTTGCCAGAAACTGGCTGATTACTTCATTCACTTCCTTACTTTGTGTCAGCACTGTGAAAAGGACCTCCAGTATACTGCTATATGGATTGAATTGTGTTCCCCAATATGTGTGTTGTAAGTCCTTACCCCTATACCTGTGGTTATAATCCCATTTGAGAATGGGTTTTCTTCGTTATGTTAATGAGACAGTTTTAGTGTAGGACTGTCTTAAATCAACCTCTTTTGAGATATAAAAGAGATTAAACACACAACCAAGCAAGCAGAGATGGGAAAAGAGAGATAGATGCCAAGCCACACAAAGATCACACAGGAGCAGAAACTCAAAAAGAGAAAAGGATCTTCCTCCAAAGCCAACAAACAGAGAAAGCCTTCCCCCAGAGCCAGTACCCTGAATTCGGACTTCTAGCCTCCTAGACTGTGAGAGAAAATAAGTTTCTGTTTGTTAAAGCCACCCACTTGTAGTATTTCTGTTATAGTACCAGTAGATAACTAGGACATAAACTTCCCAGTGGGAAACCAAGGAAGACATACACCATGTAGTGTCCCAGGTCATCTCCAGGTGGTAATGACCTGATGCTTTACCAGCTGTGTCCTCTCAGTCCCACACAGCAGCATCACCATGACTTTGGAGGTCTAAGATTGAGGTTCTGCGTTTCCTGAATTTCTCCAACTTCCCAATAGTACCCACCCTGGCACCACAGCAATGCCAGAGGAGCTGGGATGGTGATTCCCCTGAGTTCCCAAACCCCAGCCAATTCCTGATGTATCTCACCTACTGCATCTTCCACTTCCTATAGAGTGGGAGGTCATGAACCATATCCCTTCCGGAACAATACTGAAGGCCTTCATCGCAGGTGGGGAAAATGGACCCTGGATGAAATTTATGAGAGGAGAGATAACACTAGAGGATTTCTCACAAGAATTTGGGAGACTGTGCTCTGAAATGGTGAGTGATAAACATAACTGCATTTCCATATTATTCTTTTTGCTTTGAGAAGTGGTTGCAACACTTATCCATTAAGTTGGTTAAACTGCAAATAAAAAAGCAAAAACCTATTTGCTATTTCTTCCATCCCCAGCTACTCAACTTTAACTACATATATGAATAAGTAAACACATTCGTTACTAAGCCCCTTTGGCAGATATTGTTCACCTGAGACACCGGAGCCATCTGTATGACGGCTTTAATCCAAAAGGTTATTTAAGGCAGTAATAACATTGGGAATTTTCTCTGTGCTATGCATTGGTCTAAGTCCTTTACATATATTAACCCATGTAACCTATACAAGAAACCTACTAAAATACAGTTCAAAATATAATATTAAACCTTGAAAACATGATGCTAAGTGAAAGAAGCCAGTCACAAAAGACCACATAATATATGACTCCATTTTTATGAAATGTCCAGAATAAGCAAATCTATAGAGACAGAATGGAACGCTGGTGGCCCAGTGGCTGAGCGTTGGGCTGCTAACCAAAAGATCAGCAGTTCGAATCCACCAGCCCCTCCTTGGGAACTCTATGGGACCGCTCTTGTCTGTCCTACAGGGTCGCTATGAGTTGGAATCGACTCAATGGCAACCGGTTATAGAGACAGAAAGATTACTAGCTGACAGGGATAGGGGTAGAAGTGGGGAGGAGTGAGTGCTAATGGGTGCAGGATTTCTTTCTGGGGTGATGAAAATGTTCTAAAATTAGATGGCGGTGATAGTTGCATAACTGTGAATACGAAAAACCATCAAATCACACACTTTAAATGAGTGAATTTTCTGGTATGTGAATTATATATCAATAAAGCTGTTAAAAAAATATATACAATAGTAGACTTGCCTTTGAAGATTTCAAACATGATAGAATAAGAGTTTTTAAAGCCCACATGAATTTAAAAACAAAACAGCATCAAAAATGATCAGAAACTGAAGTTCATAGTGATGATGCTGAGGCAATGTAATAGTTAAATGCCTTTGGATCATTATAAAGTAGATTTACCAGTTGCCATCAAGTTAACTCCAACTTATGGCGATCCCATGTGTGTCAGAGTAAAACTGTGCTCCATAGGATTTTCAATGGCTGATTTTTCAGAAGTAGATTGCCAGGCCTTTCTTCTGAGTTGCCGCTGGGTGGACTTGACCCTCCAACCTTTCATTTATTACCTGAGCACATTAACTGTTTGCACCACCCAGGGACTCCACAGATTAGATTACATTTGTTTAATATACTTTTAGAATTTAATGTATTCTCTTATGGTGTTCTGATTTTTTTTTTTTTTTAAGTTGGCCACCCATGAGTGGAATGACAAACTCATTTAACTGGGATATTGACATAAAAAGCTCTATTCTTTAACATTGTAACTTTGATTCCAAGTCACTTGTAAAACCTCATCTGCAGAGTTCAGAGCAAGGGTGGAGTGAGACGGTTCCCTCAGGCAGCAAGCCTGGGCTCTACGACCATGTAGCCGAAGCTGGGAAGAAGTATGTTTTTCTGTTGGCGATAAGTTGTTCTTACTCTTAATGATTGTTGGCTCTCTCCCCCCGCTCTCCCAACTCCTAGTCACAGACCTCTGTGCCCGTGGACTCGTTTTTCTCTCTGCTGACCAGCGAACAAGTGGCCAGGCAATTCCCAGTGATGACTGAAGCCATATCCCAGATTCAGGCAAAAGGCCTTCAGACGGCAGTCTTGAGCAATAATTTTTATCTTACCAATGGGAAAAGCTTTTTGCCCCTGGACCGGAAACAGTTTGATGTGGTAAGCTTGAAGTGACCCAAAACAATGGAAGAGGGTCTCTGGCCTTGCCTCAGGATTCAGCTTTATACACTGTCTTTAGCAAGAATTGACAGAATGGGTTTTTCATTCAGACATTTGACTAAATCAGGTTTAGACATAAGCTGAAAACAGGATTTTCAAAATGTCACTGTGCCCTTAGCAAGGTCAGACATTTAGGGAATTTGATGACCGCTTGACACTTCAGGTTTAGAGACTCCCTTAAATTCTGGATTTGAACCTTAGTCTTCAAATAACACAAACATTTCCATCAGCCCTCACATCTTAGTGGGCCCTTTGGCTGTTTCCCTTCTAAGACCAACCCTGTTGCCCTCTAATTTCTGTGCTTCTGATCCCTAGACCAGCACTGTCCAGTGGAACTTTCTGCAATGATGGAAATGTTCTATCTGTGCTGTCCAGTGTGGTCACTACCAGCCCAGCCCCATGTGGCTATTGAGGACTTGAAATGTGGCTAATGCATCTGAGAGAACTGAATTCTTAAATTTTAATTAATTTAAATTTAAATACTACATATGATTAGCGGCTACTGTGTTGGACAGCACTCTGAGAATACATGGCATCAAGAGGTGGTCTTCTCTGCCAGGAGCTGACTTCTGTGGAGGATTCCCCACCTCCCTACGAGAAAAGGGGTCATTATCCTGGTTGAGATGGAACTTACTGAGCAGTGACTGCGGCTTGCTTAAGCTCCATTCATGCTTTTATTCATTCAGTCAGACAACGAGTTCTCATGGAGGGATATTGTGTTGAAGGGGACCGACATGGTCTCTGCCCTCTGGAGCTGCACAGTAGGAATATTTCAAGCGCTTAGTAGCCACATCTGGCTAGGGGCTACCATACTGGACAGAGTAGATACAGAACATTTCCATCATCACAGAAAGAGTACAAAATCTGGCAGAACGGACAGGCAGAGATGCAGAGCGCAAGTGCTGGGAATTCACCTCCCAGCCTAACGCTGTTGCCCCTCCATCCTCCCGCGTCCTCCTTCAAGAAAGCCTGTCAGATAGAATTCTCTCCCCTCTGTAGACCTTGCCTGGCTCCATACCTGCTTTGATTGTTAGTTTTCCTGCTCATCCACAATTCAGCTCTCTTCCAAGCTCCCTCCCCTCCGAGGGCTCAGGAGCCATGGTGGGTTGTACATTTCATCAACAGAGCCCCTTTCTGGCTCTTTCCATGTGTTAGAGAGGTACAGGGAGTGGCATGTTTGACTCCAGGGAGTGGTGTGTTCCCTGCACCTTGGGCCATTGCTGTGTATGTTCATGCCCTAATTGGACCAGTGAGATTCGAGTCAAGGTTTTCAACTCTGACGACACCTCAGCATGATCCGGAGTTGCAAAGGTGCAGATGGTGAGGCCACTTTCACGAAGGTTTTCACTGAATAGGTCTGGGTGGGACCTGGAGTGTACATTTTTTAAAAACTCCACAGGGGATCCTGATGTGCATTTGTGGCACGATGCAGCCAGGGACATCAGGCTCTGTCCATGGTGTTCGTTGTCACACAGCCTCCTTCACACTGATCTTGAGAAGGAGGCTTCCCACTACCTTCCTAAAACAGATCCTTGATGAACTAAAACCATTTTTATCTAATCTATATTTGGACAAACACTGGCCTTGTCCTTACACTTCCTGGTTTGACAAGAAGGTAAAAGAAACCTTGAACAGGTTCACACCGTTATGTGCAAAATAGAGCTGAAAGAGAAGCCCAGAAATCTTTATCAAATTTAAATCTTAAGAACTTTTTCACTTCCCCAAAACATAATTCACCTTGTGAGAATTCTTGAGTCTGCTTGTTGGAACTTGGTCCATGCCCCTGAGTTCATGCCTCTCTCTCATCTGTCTCAGTCCATGCAGCATGTTACACTCACTGGTTTCTGAAATGCCCCCTGCTTCTCTGCTGCCTGCTGATGATGGTTTTGTTAGGGGAATCCTCTTTCTTTTCATGTAGCTCACTCTGGTCCTTAGTAGACAAGGAGGAGTGAGTAAAGAGGCGGACACCTACTTGCCTGAGAGGCCAGGTCTGGCTCAGCCCAAAAGGCAGGTGTGGAGTGGGGGGGCCCTCAGGTTTGTCCTTGGTCTTGCAGACCTTGAGTTGTTCCAAGATTGAGTCAGAGGTTTGGTTCTTTCTCAGAGCAGACCAGACAGATAGGTTCTAGACTGGTATGCCCATCTGAGGTCCACCCTATAGGAAGTAGTGTAAGAGGGGATGGCGGGGGGCGGGGGGTTGTCACAGATAACCTGCCACCAAGACAGCTTTTTCAAGGTTCTCCAAGCCCTCAGCAGACCTCCCTGGTTCCGGCTCAGATACATGCCTGAAGCAGGGCCGTCAGGACACAGAGGCCCTTAGCAGGAAAGGAACAATGTCTTTGCTGGTGACAGTCTCTTAAGTGTCAGCCATCCCGTGGGATTTGTCTGTCTAAACTGAGTATGGTTATTTATTTATTTTTTAATCTCTGAAATATAGACATTAAGGTCATGTTTATTTTGTAGCAGTAAACAGCGCCTTCTTTCTGAAAAAATGGTGGAATACTTCCCATAAAGCTGAAATGTACAGCTTTTCTTCTGCTCTGTGTAGCCACAGTATCTAACATTGGCAACACGCTTGGTCGTTTTGGAACTCCTTCAAGTTTCACTGAAGCCTCACAGTGACCACTGAGATAGGTAGGACAGCTAGTATTAGTCCCATCTCACTGATGACAAAACTGAGACACCTTGTGGCTCTGCTGCTTGCACAAGACCATGGTGTCTGAGTCAGAACTTTAGTTTCCTGAGTCTTCCCCCAGGTCGGAACACAGTGTTCCAAAATCACTCAACTCAAAGAGGCAACATCATTTTATGTGGTTGCACTCTGGAGTTACTTGTTATAACAATTCTCTATCGTCCTCTTGCGCTTCTTTCCTCTGAGGGCCATTCACCTCTTGTTCCTGTCACTCCTGCAGATTGTGGAGTCATGCCGGGAGGGGATCTGTAAGCCTGACCCCAGGATCTACAAGTTGTGCTTGGAGCGGCTCGGCGTGCAGCCCTCCGAGTCCATCTTTCTTGACGATCTTGGACGGAATCTAAAAGTGGCAGCCAGCCTCGGTATTCACACGGTGAAGGTAATAACGCCAGAGCAGTTGTCCAGTAGGCACCGTTTATTGAAGCCTGCCATGTGCTTAGCAGTGTCAGCATTTCCATGAGTCCTTTTACGTTCATAGCTGTAGTCGTCTGTCATAGTCTTCTCACACGCTGCTTTAGTCTTCTCGTTTTTCATTAATTATGAAATCTATGTAACTAGCAGCTTGTATTTTCAATGGGAGGCAAGACAGATCAAACATGTGGAAAGAAGGTAGTTTGAGAAGAGAGATAAACCAGGAAGTGAAGTGCAGGGCTAAGATGTTTGGGGTGGCCGTCAGCCTGTCCTGGTGATGCCGCTCTGGTTGGGGAGCCAACAGCTCCCTGCGACATGGGCCACCCAGGGTCATGGCTGTGAAGAGGTGGCCTTGGTTCAGCTTCTGCATTTGGGTTTTCATTATTAAGCTGGCAGAACTGGAGTGATGGAGTAGAGAAGGTGACACAATCTTCTGCCCTCTCAGTACAAGGGAGTATCATGGACTTTGAACTAGCGTTCTTCCAGCAGACAGAAAAGTTTAATGTGGTTAGGATTTAAATGGGAATAGGAAACTCATGCTCCTGCCACCTCATTAGCAGAATATTCTTGTTCAGAAAACTGACTTCTTGGCTATTTCGCTTTAGAAACTTAGAGAATAGATGGGAGGAGAGGTCAGGGTTCACTGCTGGTACACGTTCAGTATTCTCTTTGAAACCAGGTTAATGACCCAGAAACCGCAGTCAAGGAATTAGAAACTCTTTTGGGTTTTACGTTGAGAATGGTTGTTCCAAACACTTGCCCTGTGAGAAAGACAATGGAAATTCCAAAAGATTCCTTGGAGAAGTACCTCAAAGGTTTACTGGAGACCCAAACCACAGGTATTTAAGTTTTTATATTTTGGTAACTCTTTTCCAAGGCTAGGCTTCCAGTCTGGTTCTCAGTTTCAAACCCCAGTGGAATATGCCTGAAACAGAGAGGCAATGTGGTGGAAAATTTGAGTGTTTCTAATTTTTGAGATGACAGCCTGGTTTGTGAAGATGACTGAAAAGTTGCGTGGCATTAAAATGTGACAACCTGTCTCCATCCTTTCGAAGCTCCCACTCATTCCTCACATTCCACCCTCTGAAAATCAGGTACCTTGTGAGCATTTGAAGAAATTCCTACCTGGTAATAAAGTTTTGCCTGACCCACTTGATCTTTGAAAGATTGTTATTTAAGGAGCTTTCCAGCGACTACATTGTGGGTGGTGCCTCCACAAAGCAGAGGGCAGACCAACTCGACGCATCCCTATTGCTCTCTTGCTCTTCTGACTAAGTTAAAGACAGCTGTTTCCAGAGTCCAGTCTTGTAGTGAAGCAGAGGGTTAACTGGTTTGCAGCAGCCAGGATGTTTCTGCCAGGAAGCCACTGAACTCAGCTGAGCGGGGTGGGGAATTGCCTTTCATGAAAGCAGCATTGGCTCACGAGGAAGGCCCCTGCATAGCTCCTTTCAGCTGTCACGTCAGTGCCAGGCGGGTCTGGCTGCGCATGGGCTCAGGGGCGGACAAGGGCACTTTTCATCCTCCACTTAAACCATTCCATTGGGCAGGATGGGTTGCCATGGCTGCGCTTGGGGTTGATACACACAACTGAAAAGCTTTTCTTCACAGAGCAGGAGTTGGCAAGGAGGACAGAATCAGACACCCGTACAAAGTGAGGAACTGCTGTGGTGTCAGTCATGTGGCCTTGGGCACACTGTAGCGGCCTGTGACTCGGCCCGAGCTGGTGCCATGTGCCGGGGACTCGGCCACTCTGGTACCTGCAGAGGAGAAGCTGTTCTTCCTGTGCGTCCCACATCGGGACATTCTGCATCCCAAATGTAGCAGCACTCATTAGAAAGAAAGGATGTCTACCCAGTTCTGTCCTCGAGATCTGCTTTTAGTTTCATTTCCAAACTTGCAGGTCCATTGGAACTCCTCCAGTTCAGTCACGGGCAGTCAAACCCGACTTACTACATCAGGATCGCCAACCACCGGCTGGTTCTGAGGAAGAAACCCCCAGGGAAACTCCTTCCTTCGGCCCACGCGATAGAGAGGGAGTTCAGGTAAGTTCTTAGGGCTGGGGATGCACTCCCCAACCTGGCATCCCCAGCGACAACCTCAGCACCTGAGTGGACAAGTGAAACCAAAAAAAAAAAAACCAAACCCGTTGCTATTGAGTCAGTTCCAACTCATAGCGGTCCCATAGGACAGAGTAGGGTTTTCTAGGCTGTAATATTTATGGAAGCAGACTGCCACATACATCTTTCCCCACAGAGCAGCTGGTGGGTTTGAACCACTGACCTTTTAGTTAGCAGCCAGCAGCTGAGAGCTTAACCACTGTGCCACCAGTGTGCCTGAGCGGACAAGTTAGCGCTCCATAAAAGTGCCTTGAAATATTAAAAAATACATGATGACTCTCAGAGTTATCTCACATAAGAACATGTAACCTAATTTTGTTCAGAAGTTTGTTTTCTCTTTTCTATAGGTGACTTTTTTGGAACCTCTAGATGAAAAACACAAAATTGAGATACACTTTAGTCTTAAAATCAATATATTTGTGGACCTGTAGAGGAAAACCCTCAATGAGATGGACTGACACAGTGGCTGCAACAATGTGCTCGAGCATAACAACTCTAAGCATGGCGCAGGACCGGGCGTTGTTTTGTTCTGTGGTATGGGGTCACTATGAGTCAGAACCGACTTGACAGCACCTAACAACAGCAACAATAATAGATGAAAAGTGCTTGGCTGCTAACTGAAAGGTTGGCAACTTGAGTCTACCCAGAGGTACCTCAGAAAAAAGGCCTGGCAATCTACTTCTGAAAAATAAGTCATTGAAAAACCTTATGGAGCACAATTCTACTCAGACACACACGCGGAAGCCATGAGTGGGGGTCGATGGGACGGCAGCTGGTTATAGATGAAACAAGCGTGGCTGTGAGGTGATCACCATTGAAGCTGGGTCAAGGGGACATGGGGCTTCATTATACGAGTCTCTCTACTTACTTTTACATATGTTTGAAATTTTCCAAATAGTTAAAAAAAAATTTATTTAAAATAGTTTTTTGTTTTGTAAATAGAAAATTTTAAACTGAAAGCTTGGAGGGTGGAGTCCACCCAGAGGTGCCTTGGAAGAACAGCGTGGCAATCTACTTCCAAAAAATCAGCCATCGAAAGCTGTAGGGAGCACAGTTCTACCCTGACACAGATGGGGTCACCATGAGTCAGAGTTGACTCTATGGCCACTGGTCACAGAAGGAAAGCTGGGGAGAATGAGGAGGAAAGGGTGACTTCACACTTTGTTCTCACTGCTAACCGTCTCTCCTTTTGACTTTTCGGCTCCTAGAATTTGACGTCTCTGAGTGTTGCATAGACTGATGATTGTTACACCTTAGGGGTTCTTCAGAGGAGATAGCCTATAGCTATTTCTGAGAATTTATGTATGTGCATAGGTAATACCGTGTGTGTATTTGCAGACAGAGAGACCTTAAAAATGTAATGCCACCACTCTATGTAAACTCTAACTACTTCCAAAAATACCAAGGAATTCTGGAGTACTAGAATGACATTCACAAAACCCAGGAATGCACAGAATTTCCATTTTAGTCAAGGCATTAAATGTGCATTTGAAGATGAAACAATGTGGCTTATAAAAATGCCAAATGTAAATTTGAACAACTACTCTGGAAGACAGTAGGACATAACTTATTAAAAACCTCAGAGTATACATACCTTTAGATCTAATAATTCCAATTCTGGTATGTATCATAAAAAAATAATTCTAAGTAGGGGAAAAAAGCATCATGCATTAATATGCTCACCACAGTGTTGTTTATGATAATAAAAAACTGGGAACACCCTGAAGGTACAATAATCGGGAAATGAACCCATCACTGTGGGCAGGATGAAGTGTTCAGATTGGCCACATACCTGGGTCCTGTGTTCATCCTTAGAGCCAGGGGTTGAGTCAACCCTACCCAAACCATACGGACTGATAGTGGAGGAGGGCTGTTTTTCAAAGGAAAGTCAAGGTGTTACCAGAACATGAAGAGGGGAAAGGACACAGGCAGTAACAGTAGCCAATTACTGGTGATAAGGCTATGGCCCATGGGTAGTTATTTTTCTATCAATTTTTCCCCCTTAAATATTTGATAGAATTCACCAGTAAAACCATCTGGGCCTGGAGTTTTCCTTGGGAGAAGTTTTTTGCTTATGAATTCAATTTCTTTAATTGTTGTGAGGCGCAGTCAAGTCGGTTCCAACTAATAGCTACCCTACGTACAACAAAACAAAACCCTGCCCGGTCCTGTGCCATCCTCACAATCATTGTTATGTTTGAGCCCACTGTTGCAGCCATGATGTCAATCCATCTCATTGAGGGTCTTCCTCTTTTTCACTGACCCTCTACTTTACCAAGCATGATGTCATTCTCCAGGGACTGGTCCCTCCTGATAACATGTCTAAAGTACGTGAGATGAAGTCTCACCATCCTTGCTTCTAAGGAGCATCCTGGCTGTACTTCTTTCAAGGCAGATTTGTTCATTCTTCTGGCGGCCAATGGTATGTTCAATATTCTTCACCAACAGCATAATTCAAAGGCATCAATATTTCTTTGGTCTTTGTTAGTCATTGTCCAGCTTTCACATTCATATGAGGCAATTGAAAACACCATGGCTTGGGTCAGGTGCACCTTAGTCCTTAAAGTGCCATCTTTGCTTTTTAACACTTTAAAGAGGTCTTTTGCAGCAGATTTGCCCAGTGCAGTACGTAGTTTGATTTCTTGACCGCTGCTTCCATGGGCGTTGATTGTGGATCCAAATAAAATGAAATCCTTGACAATTTCAGTCTTTTCTCTGTTTATCATGATGTTGCTTATTGGTCCAGTTGTGAAGATTTTTGTTTTCTTTATGTTGAGGTATAATCCATACTGAAGGCTGTGGTCTTTAATCTTCATTAATAAGTGCTTCAGGTCCTCTTCGCTTTCAGCAAGCAAGGTTGT